GCTAAAATCTCATCTGAGCAATGCATGCGACTAGTTTCTCCATACAGGAAGCGTCTTGAAGCTGTCATTACCAACAAATAATTTGTACGAAGTATTAAATAAATTTCAGTTAGTGTGTTCAATACTTTTTCCCTGTGTCATTCCATTTTATTACATATATCTTAATTTCTGAACTTGTTTTGGTTTCTTTGTATGGATGGATTGCATGGGTTGTCACCGATGTGGTGAACATTTCATGTCAATAGCACCTTTAGAAATATATTTACAGAGAAAAATTGTGACTTCTTCAATACTTCTTTTTACCCGCTTATATGTATTTCATCTGTGTATTTAACTGTTTATATTTAGTTTTTAGAGTATAAAGGAGCAGAGCCCACAAAATGCCAGTAGGTACTGTCGGATTTTCATTCTTTGTATTGGTGTGAAAATAAAGTACTTTGATTTTTTTTTTTTTTTTTTTCGAAATAAAGGCTTTTTACCTAAAGAGCTGTAATGTTACAGAATGTAACGTTTTATACTGGAGATAAAGGAAAAAAAGCCAGAAAAATATTTTTCTATATTAAAAAAAAAAAAAAAAAAAAGAGAGAAAGAAAGCTGGGAAGGTTATTCAAGGTTGTTGCAGCTGCTGTGAATGACGTACTGATGTAAACCCTGTCTGCTGCCTAAATAATACATCGCCGTTATCCAGGCACTTTAATGAATTTCAAAATGTAAATTCAGAGGATAGCATAAATTCTGGATGTCAGTGAAAAGATTGCATTCTAGATCTCAGCCTGCCAAGCTGAAAAACCGACCGGATTTCAAGCTTCCCTTCCTTTTTGTTATGTTGTGCATGTGTGTGTGTGTGTCTTTTTTTTTTTTTTTTTATTCTTTTTCGACTCATCTTAAAACTTACAGACATTTCTAGGCCACATTTGCTGTTCTCTTTGATTGAGATTGGCAGATGGGCTCTGCTATCAAACGTAATTGAGACAGGAGAAGCTTGCTGTGCTTGCGGTTCTCTTCACCTGGTGCTGTCGCCTGCGCCCGTATGTACTTTCATATTGGAGGCTAAAAAACAGCAGCATCTTAAAGCTGTACTCCAAATAGATCTAAAAGGCTCCAGTGAGTGCAGTTCTGTATTCATTATTACATCATTACCTGTATTTCTTACCACCTGAATTTTACTCGGTATCCACTTCTTGTCCCTGTACAGCAGAGCTTTGGTTGGGGGAGGGAAAAGGAGCCAGCCGGCTGTGCTGCCGTGCAAGGAGCATGCTGTTAGGAGGAGAGAGAAGAGTGACAGAGATGAGTTTATCAGTCTGCTGCTCCTTCTTTCACTGTCTGGTCACTGTGGGAGGGACAAGACCTGTAAGTGCTAGTGAATTACAGCAGAAAAAAATCAGGTTCCCTCTTGTGGATTTTTCCATACTTTTAAGTCCCATAACAGGTAACCTCTTTAGTTCACCAGGACTAAAGAGGGTGAATCTCTCCGTGGGACATAGCAAAGGAAAAAAAAAAAGAAGAAGAGTCTTGCAATGTAAGAGGGTATGGGGCAGTAAGAGGTGACGGTAATATCCTTGATCTCGTCTTCTCCAACCGCTGCGCTCCCCACAACCTCACTAACACCCCCTTTCCTCTCTCTGACCACAACCTGATTACCTTCTCTATCTCCTCGTCCTCCAACGCCTACCCCTCCAAATGTCACACTACTACCAGCCGTAACCTCCGCAACCTTAACCCTGCCTCCCTCCACTCTGCAGCTGATCAACTCCACGACCGCATCCTCCCCCTGCCCTGACTTGGCTATGACTGCCTACAACAACGCGCTGTCAACAGCCCTTGACTCACTAGCGCCTTTAACCACACGCAACATCAGACCCCGACCGCTCCAGCACTGGCAGACTGATCACACCAAAACCCTCAAACGACACAGTTGTGCCCTGGAGCGACTATGGCGCAAAACCAAATCCCAACAAGCCTTCACCCGCTACAAATCTGCCTTCCACACCTACACCTCCTCCCTCCATGCTGCCAAACAGGCCTACTTCTTGACCCTCATCAAGGCCCTCTCCTCCAATCCTCGCCGACTATTCTCCGCCGCCTTCAACTCTACTCTCTCCACCCCCATCTCCACCCAGCACCTCACTCACTGCCCTTGAGATTGCCAATCACTTCAAAAACAAGATTGACACAATTCGCAAGGACATTGCCGCAACTCACACGCCCTCTCAACCCTTCCCCTCTCACACAGCTACCCCCTTATCCCCCCCTCCCCCTCGACATAACCTGCAGGGACTTCGTCGCTGCTCAAACTCTCTCCAACCCCCTTCACCCTCACTCAGCTACCCCCTCATCACCCCTCTCCCACGGCCCCACCACTGCTCTGACCTCCTCTTCCACCCCACCCTACATTCCTCATACTGAAGCTCCCCCAACACTCCGCACCTTTGACCTTACTACCATCGAGGAAGTCTCCAAGATCCTCTCTGATGCCCGCCTCACCACCTGCCCCCTCGACCCTATCCCCTCACAACTCCTACGACCTCCTTCCCCCTCCATCCTACGCTCCCTCACCCACATCTTCAATCTCTCCCTCTCCTCCGGCACTTTCCCCTCCCCCCTCTGAAACATGCACACATCAACCCCATACTTAAAAAGCCCTCCCTGGACCCCAATGACCCGAACAACCTCAGACCCATCTCCCTGCTCCCATTTACATCTAAACTCCTTGAGCGCCTAGTCTACACCCGCCTATCTGCTCTCACCTCAACGACAACAACCTCCTCGATCCCCTACAGTCCGGCTTCAGTCCCCTACACTCCACCGAAACTGCCTTACTCAAACTCTCCAACGACCTGCTAACCGCCAAAGCTAATGGCCACTATTCAGTGATCCTACTCCTTGACCTCTCTGCGGCCTTCGACACAGTCGACCACCCCCTCCTCCTCAAAAAACTACACTCCCTCGGCCTCAGAGATTCTGCTCTCTCCTGGCTCTCATCCTACCTGTCACAACGCTCCTTCAGCGTTACCTATAATGCTACCACCTCCCCCTCACTCCCCTCTCTGTTGGGGTCCCTCAAGGCTCTGTCCTCGGGCCCCTTCTCTTCTCTATCTATACCTCCTCCCTTGGCCAACTCATACACTCTCACGGCTTCAACTACCACCTCTATGCCGACGACACACAAATCTATCTCTCAACCCCCCACCTCACCCCCTTGGTCTCAGCCCGAATCACACACCTACTGAGCGACATATCGGACTGGATGTCGCTCCACTTCCTTAAATTGAACCTCTCCAAAACCGAGTTTCTTGTCTCCCCCCCCCCCCCAGCCCGGACACCACCCCCCATTGACTTCTCAGTCACATCCAACAATGCTATCATCAAGCCCGCCCCGCAGGCCAGAGTACTTGGTGTCATTCTGGACTCCAACCTATCCTTTCAACCCCAAGTCCAATCTTTAACAAACTCATGCAGACTCCACCTCCGCAACATCGCCAAAATACGCACGTTCCTAACCCCAGAAACCACTAAACAGCTCATCCACTCCCTCATCATATCACGACTCGACTACTGCAACTCCCTCCTCAGTGGCCTGCCTCGCCGCTGGCTATCCCCGCTTCAGTCGATCCTGAATACGGCTCCCAGACTCATTCACCTTTCCAACCGCTCTGTCTCCGCCACCCCCCTCTGCCAATCCCTCCACTGGCTTCCGATTGCGCAACGGATCAAATTCAAAATCCTAACGCTGACGTACAAAGCTGTCCACCGTACTGCCCCGAACTACATTACTGACCTAATATCCAAGTACCGCCCAGCACGCACACTCCGCTCCTCACAAGACCTCCTTCTCTCTAGTTCCCTGGTCTCCTCCTCCCATGCCCGCCTCCAGGACTTCTCCAGGGTGTCACCCATCCTCTGGAACTCCCTGCCCCAACCCATCAGATTATCACCTACTCTCCTCTCCTTTAGGCGCACCCTGAAAACCCATCTCTTCAGGGAAGCCTACCCCACCCCCTGCTAACTTGCCGACCTCCTCCACTCTTCCTACCACTCCATCCCCCACAGCTATCTCCTCCTGTGCCACCATACCCTCCCTCCTAGATTGTAAGCTCGAAAGAGCAGGGCCCTCAATCCCCTCATGTTTTGCACTGTATTGGTATTGTTCTGTCACATGTTCTGTCCCCCTTTGTAATGTACAGCGCTGAGCAAACTATTGGCGCTTTATAAATACTGTATAATAATAAATAATAATAATAATTGTGTGTTTTTATTTAGGCATTCCTGACTGACTATCCTTCAAGTGGTTGTAAAGGCTGAAGGGTTGTTTTTTATTTTTTGCCTAAATGCATTCTCTGCAGTAAGGTTACATAGTTAGTCTGGCTGAAAAAAGACAAAAGTCCATCCAGTTCAAGCAAAAAAAAACAAAAACCGAAAACCTTCTATTGTCTTATACTTACCAGGGGTGGACTGACCATTTGGAAACTCGGGTACTGTCCGAGGGCCCCGGGTTCAGTAGGGGACCCCATTAGATGCCCCTGGTACCTTTTTCATAGGCTTTTTTGAGTTTGGGCAAGGACACAAGGGCCCCATAATCCTCTATTGCCCGGGGGGCCCCATGAGTTGTCAGTTCACCCCTGATACTTTCTCGATCCAGCACTTTGCCCAAGAGAACCGGTGCTGCTCCCTTTCTCCTCAGTGGACTGGACATGCAGGCAGCAGTGGAAGCGAATGGTGGCATGTGCAGAAAAGCCAAGAGCATCAGTGGGGGATCTGAGAAGAGGATCAGAGCTGCTCTGTGCAAAACTATTGCACAGAGCAGGTAAGTATAACATGTTTGTTATTTAGAAATAAAAAAATTAGTTTACAATCACTTTCAGGGCCATATTACACTATATGCGGTGACAGGCGTTTCACCACATGGTAAAATGTCTGCCAGCATAGGGACATACAGGTAAGGTTAATAAAACACTTTTGTAGATGGGAAATGTGGTATGTTATGACACTGTACAGACTGGAAGATTATGTCCCTAATGCCCGGTCTTGTCTTTGTTCAAGGGGTCTGTGGCTGTTGCGGAGCGCTGCGTCCTCGCTATAAACGTCTGGTGGATAATATCTTTCCAGAAGACCCCCCAAAGTAAGTTATTTCTTTATACTGTTTAGTCTTTTTTTGGTGTTCTTGGTCAAACAAATACAATGTGACCTTGTATTTGAGTGTTCCTCTGCTGCCTTTTGCAAAGGTTCCTTCTATTTTCCAGTAGTAGTTGTGCCAATATCCCCGCAAGACAGGTTCTAATAATTCTAGTCAAACCTGTTCACTGTACCAAAACCCAAGGGGGATGTTTGTCCTATCCTGGACCTAAAATCCCACAACAAATACGTTCAGATTCCAAAATGATGCATTTAATCTGCAAGGGCAGGTATTGCCTTCATGAGTCAAAGGGAATTCTAGGCATCCATCTAAGATGCCTATCTGCATATTTCTGTTTATCCACCTTGCGGTAGGAGATGATCATTTCTAGTTTATTGCACTTAGCCTATCTTCTGCCCCCAAACTATACACAAAGGTATTCGCACCTCTTCTTGCCCTTCTAAGAACTCGGGGCATCCAGATCACAGGTTATCTAGACGACCTTCTGAAGGACTCCTTTCCCTTCACCTATCTGCAATCATTGACAGAACAGTTTAGATGCTTCAGGCGTTTTGGTCCAAAAAGCTCCTCTCCAATCTTCTCTTTGGTTTGAATACTTGGGTTTGATCCTAGACGCATCCCATGCAAAAGTCTTCCTTCTACTAAAATGCTGCTTTCTCTGACTGCTAGTCTCAGGAGATTTGGAGTGAGATTTGGCAATGTCTTTATTGTGCTGCTCACTGTTCCCCATTCTGGAGGCTCTGACATGAGAAAGCAAAGCCCTGCCTCTACCAAGATGGCCAGCTCAAGGCGGAGATAGTGCAGAACAAGGCATGGTAAGTCAGCAGTGGGGAAAAGATAAACTGTAGGGAGAGCTCAGCCAATACTGGTGATTGTTCCTTTGTATTTTGACTACCTTTTTAAGGAACAGCTTCCAGAGTTCAGTTCCTTTTTAAGGCCCAAGTTTAGTGAAATATATAAATAAGCACAAGGGACACTACTTACTAGCAGTGTGATGTGTCCCTTGTGCTGCTGTCTCTTGGTTCAGGTGAAATTTTCCTCCTCTGATGCCCCCTCTCCACCTCAGTCGCTGCAATATTCCAGTGCGCTGGGGGTGAGTAGAACTGAGGGAGCCGTGACAGGCAATTATCAAGAGAGCCCTCCCAGCTCCTCCATTTATAAAATCCATTCTACAGCTTCTGTGACTGGAGGATAACAGATGATTGAAAAGTCTGCACTCTCCATTCATAGATCATGTTTCATTCATAGAAATTGTAGTAAGTCTTCTATGAATGGAGAAGGTGGGCTATTAAGCTCCACCACACCAGTAGATTATGGGGGGAGGGGGGGGCATCGGAGGATGGAGATAGCAGCACAACGTACACATCACACTGCCGGTAAGTAATGTTTTTTTTTTTTTTTTTTTTTTAACCTACATTTAGGATTTAGAGCTAAACACATTCACATGTACAGGGGTTGGACAAAAATATTTAAGCACTACATGAATTGCAGGTGTGAATGTGACATGTTTCGCATGGATAGCAGAAGTAATTTCTTTTTTTTTGCTTCCGCTGTGTGATGAGACACCTTGCGAACAGGTGCGAAGCCTCACTTTTGTCATTAACTGTGTGCGCTGCTAGTAATACGGAGTCATGTCAGAGCTTACTGAGTTTCAAAGAGGGCAGATTGTTGGTGCTGCTTAGCTGGTGCCTCTGACTGAAGGTACAGTATCGAAGGTTATGATGGCATATACAGTTTCCAGGAAAACGTCTGATGAGCATAAGCGCAGTCGACATGGTCAACTGACTGAAAGAGACAAAAGGACATTGCGCAGGATTGTGACCTGTAATAAGAAAACAACTGCTGCAAAAGTGACTGCAGAGCTCAATCTCAGTCTTCCAAAGCTCGTGTCCACAAAAACTGTGCGGAGGGAACTCCATAAGCAAAACATTCACAGACGAGCTGCAATGGCTACTAGTGACCAATATTAATGCTCAGAAGAGGATAGAGTGGTGCAACACTCATAAATCGTGGATTATCGATCAATGGAGGACTGTAATATGGCCCGATGAATTGAGCTTTACGCTGGTCCCAGCCACTGGTTGTGTGGTGAACACCGTCCCAAGCTTACCACCAGGACTGTCTTGTGCCAACCGTTAAGCATGGTGATGGCACAATCATGGTTTGGGCAGCCACTTATTGGTATTCTGCTTGGTCCCATCATCCCCTTGAAAGGTAGAGTGACTAGGTACACATTTTGGCCAACCATGTACACCTCATGGTTCAAACATTGTTTCCTGAAGACAGCGCCGTTTGCCAGGACAGTATTGCTCTGATTCACACAGCTGGTATTGTCAAATCGTGCTTTGATGAGCATGCAGGCGAAGTCTCACACCTTCCCTGGACGCCACAGTCGCTGGACCTCAATATCATAGAGCCACTAGGGTCAATTTTGGAGAACAATGTTCATGCTCACTGTCCGCCTCCAGCATCTTTGCGAGAACTGGAATGATGCATGAAGAGTGGTATCAGATTCTATTATTCACTATACAAGACTTTTATATTTCTCAATTCCCAGGAGAATTCAGGCCATCTTGGATTCCTAAGGTGGTCTAACACCATATTGGGTAACAATTTTGTTCTTTTACCTGATACTGCCATTATTTTGTCTAACCCCTGTATAACTAAAAACATTAAAAGGAATATAATTTCTCTTGAACTTTTAAAACTTCTTTTTTTTTGCTCCAGGATGGGCTTGTTAAATCTGACATGGAAAAACTCACATTCTATGCTGTCTCTGCACCAGAGAAACTTGACCGCATTGGCGCTTACCTGGCGGAGAGGTTGAGCAGAGATGTGGTGAGACACCGCTATGGGTGAGTGACATCTGTTTGTCTGCTCAGGGTTTGTTTTCACTATGTACAACATGGAAGGAAAAGCTTTATCACTGCGGTTAAAAAAACTTCAATTAGAAAAAACAACCAGGAATCCTCTCTACTAAGAAATGGCAGTGTTCAGAATAAATCCAAAGGTCAACTCCAGCCAGATATATAAATATATTTTTTATTTTGGATGTTTTAAAGCAACCCTACCACCATAAATGAATTGAGCAAGCTTGTACTTGTAAAGAGAAATGGGCATACTTAACTTTCCTGCTGTTTGCACCGCTGAACTTGCCTTTCCTGAAAATGGGCCCTGTGAAGTTCACTGGAAAAGAGTCACTTCTGAGAGGGACAGTCTCCTGGGGCCCCCTCACTAGTTGCTGTAGCTGACCTGTCACTGCAGGAGGAACCGGTCAGAGCTACTGGAGTCTACTGCTGCACCGGCCTGGATATGATTCACGTGTGTGGCTTAAACCATTCTGTCGTAGATATGCAAATTTTTATTGTTGTAATAAATTAGGAGTGCAGAGAGAGAGAGCACATGGAGGCACATCATACAAAACCCGACGTACAGGCCTTTATTGGGGAGCATGAGGGCACAGTAGAGATAACAAGACAAGAACTACGACATAGTCCACTGGGTAGCAATGTAATACCACACAGAGAGTCGATATAGGATGGCCCAGCTAAATGGGAAACCAATACACCAGGCCACCAGATGGTATGGCAAGGGGAATGTACCCAGCCCACGGCAGGGATCCAGGCAGAGCCAGAGTATAGCTTAGCAGGGGGCAAGTCCAGCACACTGGGCAGGGATCCAGGTGGATCAAGATAAGACATAGCAAGGGTTAAATCCAGCACACAGGGAAGAGATCCAGGCAGACAAGGGGTTAAGTTCAGCACAGGGCAGGCATCCTGGTAGACAAGGGGATCCGGTCAAACAAAGGTGTGAGTCCAACACAGGGCAGGGATCTGGGAACACAAGGGGTTGAATCCAGCACAAGGCAGGGATCTGGGCAGACAAGGGTTTGAGTCCAGCACAGGGCAGGAATTTGGGCAGACAAAGGGTTGAGTCCAGCACAGGGCAGGGATCCGGTCAAACAAAGGTGTGAGTCCAGCACAGGGCAGCGATCTGGGCAGACAAGGGGTTGAGTCCAGCACAGGGCAGGGATCCAGGCAGACAAGGGGTTGAGTCCAGCAATGGGCAGGGATCCGTGCAGACAAGGGGTTGAGTCCAGCACAGAGCAGAGATCATCTCCTACTTCTTATATTAACCACTTGCCCTCCAGAAGATTTACCCCCTTTCCTTACCAGGCCATTTTATGCGATACTGCGCTGTGTTGCTTTAACTGACAGTTGCGTGGTCATGGAACACTGTACATAAATAAAATTTATGTCCTTTTTCCCCGCAAATGGAGCTTTCTTTTGGTGGTATTTGATCACCTGTGCATTTTTTTTTATTTTTTGCACTATAAACAAAAAAAGACTGACAATTTTGAAAAAAAAAAAAACAATATTTTTAGCTTTTTGCTATAAAACATATCCAGTAAAAATTTACTAGGGAAACATACTGCTGTGTATTTCTCTGGTGTGCAGAGAAATACACAGCAGCATGTTTTTGCAGGTCTCGCCCCTGTCAGTGTTACTCAGCGATCACCAGGTTGCCGGTGATCGTGGGAATCTCCTGTCGGGACCCGATGATTGACATGTGTAGCCACCAATGGCAGCACAGGTAGGGTGGCATGCCCCCTGCCCGGAACTGCAAGTCACGTATATATATATATATATGATTTTTACGCAGTCCTGTTGCCCTGTAACAGTAATTCTACTATAGGGCAGCAGGCACGCGGGTAATAATGCAGACAAACTGACTGCTTTGCGCAGTGTTAATTTCAACAAAACAACATACAAAAAAAATATTTCTGCCCTCATCTTCAGTTGTCATCAGCTAAGCCGTCATTCCCATTTCTAAACACCCCCCGACTGCTCATCTTTGGAGAGATTAGTGAAATATGACTGTCATAGGAAGGGAGGAGGTTCTATGACAACATTACTTCACCTTTTTATGCTGTTCTATAGGCAAGATGGCATGAATAACTGGGTCTGCAGACAGGTTGAATTAGTGGTTTTACTGCATTAGTTGTTTGCAAGAGGAGTAGTTCATATAATGGTGATTTCTGCAAACACTGGAAAAAGCAAGATTTGCTTTGAAGTGGTTGTAAACTTCAGACATGAAATATGAACAAAGCATATCCCTCTATAGTGTGTTCTTGTCTCAGTTATAGAGCACTAAGTGTAATTTCTGTCTGCTGCTTCATTCCTCTATCAGCATGAATCAGTACTGACAAATGTTCCTGGCTCTCTCCAGCAGATTGACAGCCTCAGCTGTGTGAAGGGGGTGTGTCCCTTCCCTCCAATCAGCTCTTGGAGCTCTCCTCACGGAGATCTGCAGTGTGTAATTTCAGGACTCCGCCTCCTGTTTTCTGACCAGGCCTTTTTTTGCTGTTCAGCACTGCACTATTTCACCTGGTAATTGTGCGGTCGGTCGTGCAATGCTTTACCCAAACAAAATTGATGTCCTTATTTTCACACAAATAGAGCTTTCTTTTGGTGGTATTTGGTCACCTCTGCGGTTTTTTTCTTTTTGAGCTATAAACAAAAAAAAAACAGAAAATTTGGAAAAAAAACTATATTTTTCACTTTTGGTTATAAAAAAAATATATCCAATAAACTCAGTTATAAATTTAGGCCAAAATGTATTCTGTTACATGTCTTTGGTAAAAAAAAAAAAAAAAAATCGCAATACATATATATTAATTGGTTTGTGTGAAAGTTATAGTGACCCTTTTTTTGGAAAGTAGACACCCCAAGGATTTTGAAGAGAGAGATGTTGAGTCTACGGAACATTTTATTTTTTGCCACAAATTTTCTAAAAATTACAATTTTTTATTTGATCAGTGACCTATAGTGTGCGGGCAATTTAATTGGCCCCATGTATCATGTGACAGCTGTGGGCCAATCACAGCTCACTAGGAAGAGAAGCTGAGCTGTTATGAATGAGATTGATTCATAACAGCTTTGCTTACATTGTGATCATGTGATCACCGGGTCCCATTTACCGGGATCTTCATTCCTTTGTGTTCGCTGGACACAGCAATCGTGGCGGGGGAGCTCCCCATTGTCTAAGTAAAGCCAGAGAAACGTAAAGATATGTTGCCTTGCTTGTAGCTGCCGCCCGGCCGCAGTGCATTGTAGGCAGGCAGGAAGCGGTTAGAGAACAGAAGACTGCAAATAAACAAGTACAACTTATGTAGGAGGATTTGTTTCATCGCTGGGTATTACCTGAGGCCAGTAACTTCACTGGGTATATGGAAGGGTTTACAACCACTTTAAAGCAAACTTGTACCCAGATTATGCATACTAAAGTATTTACATATTCTGAAGTAGACTCTCATTCATCCTTTGGGAAGTATTTCAAGCAAAGTGTAAAGGATGGGAGTGCTGCAAGTTGTAAATGAGCCTGATAAAAGTTTATTCTTGACGAAAAAATATGGAAGTAAATTCAATGTGTTTTGAGAGTCAGAAACTCCCCTTTTATCAAGGTAACAGAAACCATTAAACTCAGTTGGTCAAAAATAGAAAACACATGGCCTTTTCTAAAAGTATGTCATAATACAGTGGGGAAAATAATTATTTGATCCCCTGCAGATTTTATAAGTTTTCCCACTTACAAAGAGATGAAGGGTCTATAATTTTTATCATAGGTGTATTTTAAATGATAGAAACCAAAAATTCAGAAAAAACACATGATACAAATGTTACAAATTGAGTTGCAGTTCAGTGAGTAAAATAAGTATTTGATCCCCTACCAACCAACAATAATTCTGGCTCCCACAGACTGGCTATGTGCTCATGTGGTGCTCCTAACGACAGCTTGTTATATGTATATAAGACATCTGTCCACAGAATCTTTCTTCCATTCAAACCTCACCACCATGGGCAAGACCGAAGAGCAGTCAAAGGACTTCAGGGACAATATTGTAGATCTCCAACAAGGCTGGAATGGGCTGCAAGACCATCAGCGATTAGCTTAGTGTGAAGGAGACAATTGTTGGAGCAAATATTCGTAAATGAAAGAAAAACAAAATAATTATCAATCGCCTTCAGTCTGGAGCTCTATGTATGATTTTGCCTCATGGGGTAAGGATGATCATGAGAAAAGTGAGGGATCAGCCCAGAACTACACAGGAGGAGCTTGTGAATGATCTCAAGGCAGTTGGGACCACAGTCACCAAACAAACCATTGGTATCACAATGCGCCGCCATGGATTGAAATCCTGCAACGCCGGCAAGGTTCTCCTTCTCAAGAAGGCACATGTACAGGCCCGTCTGAAGTTTGCCAATGAACATCTAAATGATTCAGAGAAGGAATGGGAGAAAGTGCTGTGGTCAGATGAGACCAAAATTTAGCTCTTTAGGGTTAACTCAACTCGCCGTGTTTGGAGGAAGAAAAATGCTGACTATGACCCTAAGAACACCATCCCTACAGTCAAGCACGGAGGTGGAAACATTATGCTTTGGGGCTGTTTCTCTGCTAAAGGTACAGGTTGACTTTGCGACATTGAGGGACCAATGGACAGGGCCATGTATTGTAAAATCTTGGATGAGAACCTTCTTCCCTCTGCCAGAACACTGAAGATGGGTCATGGATGGGTCTTCCAGCATGACAATGACCCAAAACATACTGCCAAGGCAGCAAAGGAGTGGCTTAACAAAAAGCACATTAGGGTCATGGAGTGGCTTAGCCTGTCTCCAGGCCTTAATCCTATAGACAATTTATGGAGGGAGCTGAAACTGAGTTACCAGCAACAGCCAAGAAACGTTAAGGGTTTAGAGAAGATCTGTAAAGAAGAGTGGACCAAAATCCCTCCTGAGATGTGTGCAAACCTGGTAATCAACTACAAGAACTGTCTTACTCTGTGCTTGCCAGCAAGGGTTTCTCCAACAAGTACAAAGTCATGTTTTGCTAGGGGATCAAATTGTTTTTACTTACTGAACTGCAACTCAATTTATAACATTTGTATCATGTGTTTTTTCTGGATTTTTGGTTGATATTCTGTCTCTATCATTTAAAATACACCTATGATAAAAAAAATTATAGACCCTTCATTTCTTTGTAAGTGGACAAACTTACAAAATCTGCAGGTGATCAAATAATAATTTTCACCACTGTATAAAAACGATTCTGTCCCATGATGTCTAGTTGGTAAAATACATGTTTGTATTTTCAGCAATGTCTTCATTGCAATGGAGGCCCTGGATCAGCTACTTATGGCCTGCCACTCCCAGAGCATCAAACCGTTTGTGGAGAGTTTTCTGCATATGGTGGCCAAGCTTCTGGAGTCCGGAGAACCCAAGCTCCAGGTCTATGGAACAAATTCTGTAAGTAGTCAATTTGCAGTTCCTTCTTCTCTTATCTTAGATGACACAATGTTCAGTGGAATGGAAATGCCCTTGAATGTTCCATGTGTATACACAGGGTCTTGCACAACCATAAAGTAATCTGTGGGGCATCCAAGTACAGGCTGGCACTCTAGATCATTGGAGTTCTATTTTCATGAAAAAAAATGTCACATGCATTGAAAGGCAATTTCTCTACTTTTAAAAACCTGTACCTTTAGGAAGGTGTTCCAAAGAGCATTTTCTAGTTTTTATCAATGAAATCTGCTTGTGCCGAAAATGTCACATTAAACAACTCTGTCAGGGTAGCAAACATTACTAGAGGAAGATGCCTTGTATTAGAGGAGGTATTGTAGGTCATGTATCTATTAGCTCCATTGTGTTCCAGTGCTGCAGCTTGCGTCAGTCTCTTTGGCATTTGATATTTCCATGAGTGTCGGATGTGTCCCATGTGGCCAGTGTCCCCTGCCTTGCATTGTAATTCTATAAACTAATCTCTTTATCACTGTTGAGTCCTGCAATGACGTAGGGGCTGGTTGTTGGAACCCCAGGTGTGGTAAGACAAGACAGGATTCCCAGAAATGCCTATTAACCCCTTCACGCCTAAGGGTAAAACAAATCTAAATGCCTAAGCACAATTCTGCAACGTTGACATGTGTTAGTAAAACCGTACATATCATCACAACTACTTTGTACATCCAGGTGGATTATACCTTGATTTTTTTAGGAGAAATTGGGCTTTCATTTGGTGGTAAATGGTAATGGATAGCTTCTAATTTTTTTTTATTATCAAAGGAAAACTGGCCCAAAATAGTAAAAAAAAATTGTTTTTTTTTAATGTAGCTCTGTGTTTCTTGTTACGACCATAACCTACCTCCATAGAACAACCCAAAATACATTCTCCAGCTCTTGGCGATCACAGTGATACCATATATGTGTATGTTATTTGTTGTTTTTACCCGTAGTACAGTCCAGAAACAATAGTGCGCATTTTGTTTTTGTCTTTTTTTTTTTTTTTTTTTTTTACCTAAAACACACTGACACTGACATTAACGCTAACTGACACCAATTTTTTTTTTTTTAAATCCTGACCTTGACCCAAACACTATCCCTGGCACTGAACTAGATCAAACCTTGATCTGGGTATTTTTCTTTATTTTTCCTTTTATTTTTTTTAAGATTTATTTATTTATCTTTTTTTTTTTTTTTTTTACAAACATTTTTTTTATCTCTCTATGTCAGGAGTTAGAGAGATACAATGTATCTCTCTTCTCCATTCATAGAGAGAGAAAAAAACAAGGGGGCCGGGCTGCACAGTGACTGATCACTGTGATAGCCAATCAGAGGCTATCACAGCGATCACCCGACTTGGAATCGGGAGTCCCAGGTCCTGATCGTTAGAACGGGTCCCGGGGCTCTCAGTGACACCGTGGTCTTTGTGCTGGGAGCGCCAGTGAATACAGAAAGAGTGCTTTTCTGTTGTAGCTAATAGTATCACACTTTATAGGGTTTTTATTTAAATTTCTTCTGTATCAATTGTGGATTTAGAGTTATGCAGATGTAAGGTGTGTTTATTTTTGTCTTGATCAAGGATTTCTTTTTATTTTCAGTCTTGCTAACTGTGTAAAATTGTCCTTTTGTGCTAATGTATAAAGCTGAAAGCAACATACGGAAACAATTTTCAGAATGCCAAAATATTGACGATAAACCTGACTATGCTGTATGACTGAATGTTTGTGGACACCTGACCATCTCACCTATATGAGCTTGTTGGGTATTTCTTTCCAAATTTCCATTCGGGTTTCAGTGAAGTTTTCTGTTAGCATACACCTTATGGCAACAGTTTGGCGAAAGTCTTTTTCTGTTCCAGCAAGACTGTACCCCTGTGCACAGCTCCATAAAGACATGGTTTGGTGTGGAGGAACTAGAGTGGTTTGCACCAAGCCTTGACCTCAACCTTACTGCACACCTCTTGGATGAAATGAATTATGAGTCTGGCCTTCTCTACCAGCGTCAGTATCTGACCTCACACAAACTCATTTGGCAGAATGAGCACACATTTCTATTCACACACCAAAATCTTTCTCAAAATCAAATTTGATGGCACTATCAATAACTGCCAGATACTTCATTAACTGCTTCCCGTCTGCCCTATAGCAGAAATACTGCTACAAGGCGGCACGGGCGCACAAAATCACGTGTATATATACGCGTTTTTGCAGTTCTGGGTAGGGGGTGCGTGCGCTCCCTACCCGCGCCGCCATTCACGGCCTCGGCTGTCAGTCACCGAGTCCTGGCCTGTGATTACTCGCCGGTGCCCGGTGATTGCCGAGCGTCTCCGACGGGGGAGAAACTTGTTTGTAAACATTACAGTTCTCTCCCCTGTCAGCTCCTGCACACTGCTTTGCATGGCTGTGCATAGCACAGCCATGCAAAGCAGTGTGCTTACAGTGAAGCACTAACACAGGACACAGTTAACCATTTGATCGCCCCACATGTTAACTCCTTCCTGGCCAGTGCCATTAGTAAAGTGTTAATGCTTTTATTAGCACTGATGACTGTATTGGTGTCACTGGAGATGTCAGTGACACCAGATAAGTTCCCCCAGTATCAGAATGCCCGCCGCAGTCCCGCTATAAGTTGTTGACTGCCGCCATTACTAGTAAAAATTAAAAAAAAAAAATCCCAGTATATATACCGCCATTTGTAAACGCTATAACTTTCACGTAAACCAAATACATTTACACGTATTGGGGTTTTTTTTTTTTTAGCAGAGTACATTTTGGCGTAAATTTATGACTAAATTTGATTTTTTTTCTGGACATGTTTAATAGCAAAAAGTCAAACATACTAGGGGTTTTTTTTTTCTTAAAATTGTCCGGTCTTTTTAATTTTTTTTACAGTGCAAAAAATAAAAAAAATGCACAGGCGATCAAATACCACCAAAAGAAAGCTTAATTCGTGGGAAAAAAAGGACGTAAATTTCATTTGGGTGCAGCGTTGCATGACCGCACAATTGTCAGTTAAAGTAACGCAGCACCGTAACGCAAAAAATGGCCTGGTCAGGAAGAGGGGTAAATCCTTTGGCGGGCAAGTGGTTAACGTTGTACAGTGAAATCCTCGGGGATCTATAAAGTCACGATCGCGATTTTATGTCCAAACTTCTCAGCTTACTCAACAGACAGGGAGGTGTTTCACATATAGAAAAACAGAAGTACAGACAAGGTGTCTTATTTTCCTAAGCCCAGTGGTTAGCACGTCTGCCTTGCAGCACTACGTTCATGGGTTTGAATCCCAACCTTGACACTAACTGCATGGTGGTTGCATTTTCTCCCTGTGCTTCCATGGGTATAACAGACCTCCCTGTCTGTGGTGGCATGAACTGCTAATCTTCTGAGAAGTTTGGAAAAAATGGTGATCTGGTATGGTTTCATTTGTGAAATCTCAGGCAGTTATTGCTTGCGAGGGCTTCCTCCCGGTAGTTTGGATTTCTCCCACACTCCATGGGACATGCTGGAATGGTTGTTGGCTCCTAGACTGATGTGAAGGTACAAAATATGTAAAGTGATGCGTAAACTGTCAGCACTAAATACACCTGTAATAAATAAAATATTTGGACATTATAAAACCACTTAAAGTGGTTTTAAAGTCTAAACATTTTCTTACCATAATGCATTACTTGCATTTAAGTAAAACATTTTTAGGTGGTAGTAACCCCCTTATAATTACCTGAGACCTCATTCGGTCCAGTACTGTGTGTCTGCAGCTCTTCTTTCCCCTCATTTTCAGGTCTCGCAGGCCTTGCTAAGGCAATGGTTCCTGCTGCTGTCAATCAAAGCCAGTGACGCGGGGGTTGGGACTGAGTCCCGCTGTCTGTATCTATGAACGCATAGAATAATTCACAGTCAGGCCTCCCAAACAGGTATGGTCAGGTCGAGGCTTTTAAAGTTTCACCTGTTTCATACATCTGACTGCAAAGTAGGGACAATGCATTTCAGGGCTGTCACTCCTTCAGTAGAGCCTTTCAGAGGTGTGAAAGCACTTTTTTCTATTCTACACTGTAAAACAGTGGTAGGCAGCGTTTCTTAATATGGAGGGTCTCAGGTGTGGCCCCCACCATCGCCAAAGGACTGCACATAAAACTCAGTGAATATTCAATCTCTGAGACAGCAGGGACACAACAGGATATAGTCAAAGACCATGGGCATGATACAAGATAGAGAGACTGCAGACATGATACAAGAGATTGTCAATGATCGTGGGTATTATACAAGTGATGGTCAGAGACTATGGATATGATAGAAGAAATGGTCAATTTCTGTATTATACAAGAGCTGGTCAGGGACTATGGACATGATAGAAGAAATGGTCAATGACTGGGTACTATACAAAAGATGGTCAATGACTGTGTACTATACAAAAGATGGCCAATGACTGGGTACTATACAAAAGATGGTCAATGACTGGGTACTATACAAAAGATGGCCAATGACTGGGTACTATACAAAAGATGGTCAATGACTGGGTACTATACAAAAGATGGTCAATGACTGGGTATTATACAAAATATGGTCAATGACTGGGTATTATATAAAAGATGGCCAATGACTGGGTATTATACAAAAGATGGTCAATGACTGGGTACTATACAAAAGATGGTCAATGACTGGGTATTCTACAAAATATGATCAATGACTGGGTATTATATAAAAGATGGTCAATGACTGGGTACTATACAAAAGATGGCCAATGACTGGGTATTATACAAAATATGATGAAATGACTGGGTATTATACAAAATATGATCAATGACTGGGTACTATACAAAAGATGGTCAATGACTGGGTACTATACAAAAGATGGTCAATGACTGGGTACTATACAAAAGATGGTCAATGACTGGGTACTATACAAAAGATGGTCAATGACTGGGTACTATACAAAAGATGGTCAATGACTGGGTACTATACAAAAGATGGTCA